TCTCATACTAATGCTGGGATAACATTATACATGGCATATGCTTCAGATGTTTCTCAATTTTTGTGTCGGTGATAGATTTTTTCTGTGTCGGTGATAGATTGTCTGTGTAGGTGATAATTTGTCTGTGCAAGTGAGTGGAAGAAAAGGGAAAGAAGGTCAATGAAAGAGGGAAGATGAAGTGACTTTTTAATGAATGTGTGAATAGATAATGGAGAAAAGGGCTTGTATGTGCATGGAGAAAACATGGAAATTGAAGCTGATGAAGACATTAGGATGAGTAGAGGATATAATTACAGGGAAAGGATACTGAAGTGGGAGATAAGAATAATGACATGGGTGAATAAATGGATGGTGAGATAACCGTTAAGTGAAAGTAAGAGAGGAAGGAGTAAGGAAAACTATATAGGGGAGGGTAGAGGAGAAGGATGAACAAAAGATGAGTGGGGTAGACGGTATGTGGATAAGTGGTAAGAGTAAAGAGAAAAAGGAGGTAAAAAAAAACCCGATAAATTTGTAGTAGCATCGCTTCGCTGGAGTGCAGAATAAAATACGCTGGTCTTGTTTGCTATTTTCTTGAAATATGGCATAATTACATCGAACGTCATGATAACCTCACAATCAAAGAGAACTTTATCATAAGGGAGACCTACAAAGATGCTTTGATATCGTGTCATTGCGCTGTCATTCTGATATGCTATACGAGGGACAACTTTCCAGATCAAGAATGCAGACTCGATCTGTCTGGCTCTGACGTTGTTGAAGATTTTTGGAGCAAAAATGGATAGTGGGTGGGGAATCACCATAACTATAATTCTGGAGATCTGAAGAGGAATTCCTCACATATGATTCGATTGGAACAAATTAGAATTGACCCAGATGCTCCAGCCTTTGCCAAGCCCCATCCTAAACAAGAAAGTATTTGGCACCGTCAATACCCTGTGGGATTTGTAAGTGCCAATTTGAAGGTATATCCTCAGAGGGGTACCGAGGTTAACGCATGGAGACAAGGGATTATGGAAGCAACTACATGCATACCAATTGCAATTGCAGTTGGTATGACCCCTCATGCTCAACGTGACGATAATGATAGTGATAGCGATGGAAATAGTAACGACGATTACGGAGACAATGATGATAGTGATCATAACAGTAGTGACGGTAGCAGCGATGGCGACGACAGCAACAAAGGTCATGAGAGCGACGATAATAGCGATAATGAGGTCAGCAGCGATGACAACGACGACTGGTTTTATAAACCATTTAATAACCCAAAAAACAGATTTCATGATGTCGACACCGACGAGGACAACTGTGACGAAGAGGAAACCTCTGCATGTGGTAAGTTTAAAAGTTGTGTTTATTCACGT